TACACAAATAATTGATACACAGTTATATAAAAGTATATAGAATTTCAAAGCCGGAATTATGGGAAAATATTGCAATTAAACATTCTGTAGGCAAGATAATAAACCAGATCATTTGGTTTCCAAATGTTTCCCATGATTGCATATTTCCCTTGATAAATGCTGTAGAAAAATATATCTTTTGTATTACGTGATTCTATTACATGGTTTCTTTTTTAATAGAGTAATGGTTATGATTACGTCTTGAGTTCAGATTATGGTTACTGCATATGGTTCCTTTGATCATAGGGCAGCCATAAGAGATACATTTCTCAGCCTGTAAATACTCTATATAGATAACATACTCAAATTACTTGCAAAGAACCACATAGAAAGAAAATCCCTTGCTTGTGCAATTTTATTGAAGGTGGCAATACATTGGCACATCAAGATTCCATCTAATAATAAAAACCAAATATACAAGATATGGTCTCTACAGCAAGTAGAAAGGGGTGAGGAGGGGGGGAGGAGGGAAGGCATGGACAAAATCCAAAAAGCACTTTTCAAAATAAGAGTTACAAAACAAAATCACTATTAAAAAGGCTAGGGGAGACAAAAAACACATCCTCCCAGCTTTATTAATTAACTACATCAAAACACCATTTATGAGCCATCACTCTGATGTTGTTGAAGACAATGCATACTATTGAAAGTATTTTTTAAGAGGGGGGAACTGACACTACATCTAACCATCTGAATGTCTTTATCTGCCTATCTTATATGAGGAAAGATAGGCTTAACATTCAAGTGAGGAACCTAATTTACCATCAACAATGAACTTATTTCCCCTACCTGACCACCACTTATGGAACAGAAAAACAATGAAGGAATATATTTACCGTTTAGGACTGCGCACCGTACAGAATCTCAACTCCTTTCAAAAATACCCAAAAGCTGTGGTTCTAACTCTATAAACTTTGTCCTCAATACTATATTTTTTTTATTTATCTCAGTCTAAAGTAAACAATCCCCATCCCCAATAAATGTATATATATATTTTTATTTGCATTTGATTAACCACTTCCTAAATGTTTAAGAGGTTATTTGGGTAGTGTTGCCGTTAATGCATACACCCCAAGACTCTAGGATTGTGATATTTATATATATATATAATCTTAATTGCTGTACAGATTATAGTATTTGAAACATTATTTCCTTCTGATACATACATATCAAATTTGTTTAAACCTAAACAGGTGCCAATTTATTTGAAAAGAGAGGTTACATAAAAAATGTGTAAGATTATAACATCAAATGTAAAGATGAATAATAATATTGATTAAATTATAGGATAACTATATAGTTATAAAAAATAATCCCAATATTATTCATTATCCATTTCATGCCTTCAATATGTTCATATTGTTAATTATTGCCTGTGGTTATATCCATTTCAAAATATCGCAGAATATTAAGGTAATAAGGTAATAATAATTATAATAATAATATGAAATATCTTGTCTTTTGTAAAGATCCTGATGTTATTTGTCATTCTTTATTCATTTCGTGAATAATACATTATACTTTCTCATATCCTTAAATTGTTATTATAAAATAAAGTTTGTTCTCACAATCATATTTTATCTAATAGTTATAATATAGAATCTAGATGTTTACATAATCCCTCTCTCGCACTTGTTCCTTCTTTCCTTGCTTTATTCTTTCTCTCTCTTTTCTTCTCTCTTTCCCCTCCCCTACTTACTTCCTCTCTCTTATTTCCATCATCTTTATATACTCCTACTATGTAGGATTCGAGCCTAATGCTATTTCAATCTTCTTATTATTATTGTCATCATGTAAAATTCTATCACATCAGGACCTCTTGTTATGTTTCAACCCTAAATTAAAATTATATTGCATCAATCACTGATGACATTTCCTCTGATAAAAATTATTATTATTTTTAATTAGCTTCTCTTGTCAACTAAATTGGCACCTGTTTAGGTTTTGATATGGATGTATCAAAAGGAAACAATGTTTCAAATAATATAATCTGGAGCTCAATTAAGATTATATATCACAACCCTAGAATATACCCAAAGAATTTACTACACATTTAAGTATTGGTTAATCAAATGCATATCGTATACATATATTGGGGATTGTTTACTTTAGGCTGAGAGAAATAAAAAAAGACAGTATTAAGGATAAAATATAACCCTAGCTTTTGGGCATTTCTGAATGGAATTGAGAATCTGTGTGCTTATAGTGGTGATGTAACTTTTATGTTGTTTTGTAACTTTTATGTTGTAGAAATGTTTGTGAAAAGACTCCTTACGTGAAATGCGTTCAGTAAACTGAAGGACTTCCAACAGAGGTTTCTGACTGCTAGTACTCTCTTTTATGTATGTTCTGCACGTTCCCTCACATATTCTACCCAATGCCTGATGGCCATTGTGTGAAGAATGGAACATGTTGTACAATTCAGAGGAATTGTACAATAATATTTGATTGATTTCAAGATTCTATCATGTAACATCTTGGGTATGTAAATGTAAGATAGAGAGTATACATTTGTATATTTTGGACATTAGATATAAATTTACATTGTATAATGATATCAGTTTATAACACAGTTGCAGCTCTGTAAACTGTTACCCACTGCCCTTAACTTTTAATATCCTAAAATGTATTTAAGCACTGAGAATTTCTGAGAGACTAATACAGAAGAAAACAAAGAAAAAAGAACAAAAACCCGAAGGAACTGGAAAGTAACAATTTTACCATCCACCATCTGTTTCACATCTGAGTTTCAGGGAATAAGCAATAATCCTACCATGACAATAGCATGCATGACTATGTCAAAATAATGCGCAAGAATGTCAGTACAACTTAAATATAAGATTCTCCAGTGATGTTTCCAAAAGTTAATCATCATATTGGCTTCCTTTTAACATATACTTGCTAAGTAGTAAGCAGTGATTCTTAACAAGCTTACTCTGCAGAGCTCATATATACATGCTAACCCCTATATAGTGAGCTGTTCTAACTTAGAATAATGTATTTGCTGCTAGATTTAGGCATTTTTCTTTCTTTCTTCTTTCGTTAGATATCCATTTAGAGCTAAGTATTCAGTTTAAAAAAACATGGATTTAATACACTAAAATGTCAGTTTCTCAGAAAATCACATTTCAAACCTGAAAATTAAATATTTATTAAGATATTAGAATGAAAAAACCTGAAATAAAGATGGTGGGAGTTAGCAATAATTTAAGTATATAGGGTACAAACAACATGTATATGATGTTTATTTAGTAGAGTTCTTGAGTTTTGTATTGCAATATATTTTTTCCAAAGGCATATGTTACATCCAGATTAAGGGAACAGCAATGGGGCTACATGTGCCCCATCATGTTTTTGCCTATCCCTATAGGCGTGCGCACGGGGTGTGCCGGGTGTGCCTGGGCACACCCTAATCCCCGTGGCACGCCTATGGTTTGAGTCCTGCAGGAACAGCGTTCCTGCACTTTTTTTTGAGCAGGAACGCTGTTCCTGCAGGCACTCAGCGTCCCACTCACCTCTTGCCCCTGTCATGGGGGGGCAAGAGGTGATGGATTCTCCCCCCACCCCCCGCTCTCCAGCTCAGCCGCGGCGAGGGAGCTGTCTGCTCTCTGCTCCCTCTTGCCACGCGCTGATGCCGGGAGCCGGAATATGACGTCATATTCCGGCTCCCAGCTACAGCAGACAGCCCGCGCGGCGAAAGGGAGCAGAGAGCAGACAGCAGAGAGCTCCCTCGCTGCGGCTGAGCTGGAGAAAAGTGCCCGCCCCACTGGACCCCAGGGAAAAGTCCATGCCAGCACTCCAGGTAGGAGGCTGGGTGGACATTGTTTTTTATTAAAATATAATAATTTGTTCGTGTCTGTGTGTTTGTGTGTATGTGTGTGTGTGTGTGTGTGTCTGTGAGTGTGTGCGAGTGTGTGTGTCTGAGTGTGTGTGAGTGTGTGTGTCTGTGTGTGAGTATGTCTGTGTGTGTGTCTGTGTGTGAGTATGTCTGTGTGTTTGTGTGTGTCTGTGAGTGTGTGTGTCTGTGAATGTGTGTCTGTGTGTGAGTGTGTGTGTCTGTGAATGTGTGTGAGTGTGTGTATGAGTGTGTGTGTTTCGTGAATGTGTGTGAAAGTGTGTCTGTGTGTGAGTGTGTGTGTGTGTGTCTGTGAATGTGTGTGTGTGTGAGTGTCTGTGTGTGAGTGTGTCTGTGTGTGTGTGTCTGTCTGTGTATGTGTGTGTGTGAGTGTGTGTCTGTGTGAATGTGTGTGTGTCTGTGAGTGTATGTATGTGTGTGTGTGTCTGTGAGTGTACGCATATATATATATAAATATATATATATACACACACACACAGAGCCGGCGCTATCTGAGTGCCGGCTCTGCTCTAAGCCTCCATGGGCCGGCGGGGAGACCAAAGATCTACCTCACCGGCCCACAGCAGCATGGAGGGAGGCAGGAGAGGACCCAGGGAGCTCTAGACAGAAGCTCCGCCAGGTTCCTCTTGCGATATCTGAGCGTTGCTGCGGCAACGCTCGGATCTCGCGAGAGTTAACTCTAGCCCCACAGGCTAGAGTTCACTCTCCACTGGACCACCAGGGATGGCACATGGCAGCAAGGATTTACTAATCTGCCAAATCCCCCCAAACATACAGCACACACACATACAGCACCTACACACATACAGCTCACACACACACAGTACACTAACCACACCCTCACAAACACATACAGCACCTTTAAAAAAAACACAACACCCTCACACACAGCACACTAACAGCACCCTCACAAACACACACACAAACAGCACCCTCACAAATACACGACACTCACACAAACAGCACCCTCACAGGACAAACATACACACACAAACATCCTCATACACAAACAGCACAGTCACAAACACACACACACACACACACACACACACACACATACCCTCACATCACACTAACAGCACCCTCACACACACATCACACTAACAGCACACACAGCAGTGTATGTGTTTGTGTGTGTGTGTATGTATCTATATATATATATATATATATATATATATATATATATAGATACATACACACACACACACACACACACGGTGGGTGTTTGTGCTTTAGGGTGCACACCCTAATGCAATAGGCTGTGCACGCCTATGCCTATCCCTGGGTTTATTAGAGAAAACTAGGATTTCCAGTATGTGTCATTTTTGTTTATGGACTACGTCTACCTTTTCCTCATTTACACAGATTAAATTTATGTAATGTTTAGGAATGACCTAGTTTGTTGCTGCTCAATAGAAGTGATGAATTTGACAAATAACTATGCAATCCATTTTACTAATGATTAGAGTTATTATTTGTAGCTATTTTGAAATATTTACATTACATGGAAGTTGAAGAAATAGAGTGGAAAAATAATACTCTAGGATTTATTCACTAAACCGTGAATTGCACTATACTAAAAACGGAACAGAGTAAAATACCATTCTGTGGTAGAAATAGAGTTGGATAATTTTTTTTAATTTAAACTAGTTTTGCAATTCAGTTTTCAATGAACCGTTTAGTAAATATATACTCCTTTGTTGCTAGTTGCTGCTAGTGACAGGCTTATGCAATGTATGATCTTATACTGTAACTGAGTCCCTGTTATTTTTGCCTAGGCTAGGTGTTTTTAACAAAAACTATTACATTCTGTGAGCATTTAAAAAAAATATTACATTCTGTGAGCTTTAAACCCCCCCAAAACATTACATTCTGTGAGTTTTGAAATCAATGTTTATTAAAATGAAATGTGCCCTAGATCATGTTATATATATATATATATATATATATCGCAAACATGATCCACAGCTATATGTATAGTGGTCCTGAGGAAAGTCCCCAGGAGGGACTGAAACATCAACTTGTATTGCATAACTGTATGTCCACAAAGTATAGTGGGATGTTATCTGACTGACATCATTAAAGGAACTGGCAAATCTTTTAAAGTCCGTGAGTGCAGCACATTCTCTAAATATTTGTATATATATATATATAGTCAATACAATGTTATTGTATATATATATAGTCAATACAATGTTAAACAAAAATCCGCACACCAGTCAAGCCATAAGACTTGCTTTTCCCACAGAAATCACAAATTTGCAGTGATATGACTACCACAAAGGATTATTGGTGGGCATATGCAAATTAGTTCAACAAAGTTATGGTGGGGAAAATTTGTGATTAAAAACCCCTTCCACCTGAAATTTGTGGATAGTCAATATAATGTTAAACAAAAATCTGCACACCACTCATGTGTGATTCTTTGTTGAACTAATTTGCATATGTCCACCCAGAATCCTTTGTGATAGTAACATCACTGCAAATGTGTGATTTCTGTGGGAAAAGCAAGTCTTATGGCTTGACTTAGATTTTTGTTTAACATTTTATTGACTATCCACAGACTTCAGGTGGAAGGGGTTTTTAATCACACTTTTTCCCTACCATAACTCAATTTGTTTTTACTATATATATATTTGTAGTCGGGGACATTAAGCTGTAATAATAATAATAATATATAAGTAGAAGTAAGCACAAGTCGGTTGTGGTGTGCCAGAACCGACGTATGGGGTAGGCCTGTAATAAAAGAGGGCCAACCCATGA